TGGGCCCGACCATCCAGCCAGTTTTTTACATGCACGCGGAGGACAGAGACAGCCCTTCACAGTATATCCTATCTGCTCCTTCCATGCAGCATGAAGGGATTGGCTCTGTTGCTTATTCATGGTGGGCTGCAAAGGTACAAGTCAGCTCTTAAACAATCAAACTGCAACTAAAATAATTGCAAAGATGTCAGAGATGAACGCGCTTGTTAGCTTGAGACACAGCAGAAATACTACGCTACACTAATGACTTACCTCCCTGCCACTTATCCGCTTCAAATCAAGCAAACCAGTTCTGTCAAGTCATTTCCCAAGAAACCCAATCTCCGTTGACCAAGGCAGGAGTGGAGCACATGTTCAGTGCACTGGGCCATCAGCACAAATTACACAACCTGCGCATTCACGTCTCAAGCCCATTAAAAGAAAAATTGTTCTCCTTTATGTGACAGGAGACGTCTAGGGCATCAGGATTATTTAATGGAGGCTGATGGATCTGCAATCAGGGAAATCGTCACTTTGAGAGCATAAAGCGCTCTGTAATGCACAGAAAGGAGGAAGCAGCTCTGCACTATTAAAGATTAATTGTGAAAATTGACTTGTTCAATTACAGAGAGAACGATGGTGCATTATCGCTGCTCTTTCTTTCAGTCTCCAGATCTGCACATTTTTAAAAGGATTTTTATTACATTACCATTCCACTATCTGAACATTTACATAAATTAGGTAAAATATTATGAAATCATGCAGCAGTTTAACACAAACTGGTTTTGTTCTCATCCGCAGTAAATACTCTCCAGCCTGCAGAAGCTGACTTTACAGGTACAGACCCTATCAGGTGGAAGGCCAGGGACCTCTCTTTCTCTCTCTCTTCCACTCTCTCTCTCTCCACAGAGTTTATAAATGTTTTTCCCACCCCTGTTTGGGAAGAAGTAGCAGAACAGATCTGGAAGGCTGCCAAGCATACATGCTTTTCCCCAGAATTTTCAATTGTCTTCTTTCTTTAACAGCAAAGTTGCTCAGGAAAATGGAAAAACATCGGTTTCACAAATATTTATGGGGAAAAGTATGTCCATGTTCCATTAAAATTCCATTGCAATGGATCTTTTTTCCTACCCCATTGACCTAACAGAAAAAAAAAAAAAATGTTGGCTGCTTCTGCTCCAGCTTCTTAGCAGTTTGGCTATTAATCTTGCACTGGACGGATCTATGCAAAAACATCCTATTCCTTCTGTTACCCCACCTCTCTAACCCAAATCTGCAGTCTGAATTTTCATTCTATCCTCTTGCAACATCTCATCTTTTAGACTGCAAGCTTTTGAACTAGGGTTGCCATTTATTACAAGCGGCATCCTGCAAACAAGCCTCAGGGAAATTCAAAACTCAGCTCTCGCTGACTCTGAGAGGAGTTGAATGTCTACACAAAATGCCTCAGACGCAGCTCCTGTTTGCCTGGCTCAGCGGTGCCACCCACAGCCTGCTGACCAAGCTCCAGGATCTCATCTTGAACCAGCTGCCACACCATACTAGACACAAGAAGAACGAGGAAAGGAGCTCGTATGTGGTTAGAAAAATTATGTTCACCCACCAGCTGCATGGCGTACAAGAAATGAGCTGTGACATAGATCTCAGACCTCTGCACTGACAGGGTGATAATCAAACTGCTAAGAGAGAGGGATGCCAGGAAGGTTGTCAGATCTCCAATCTTGCAGATATTCAAAACTTGTCTGGACAAGACCCCAGGAAATGTGCTGTAAGTTAGCCCTGCGATGAGCAGGGGTGGTACCAGAAGACTGCCAGATGTCCCTTCTGATACAAGTTTATCTATACTTGCATGATTCTGTTCTATCATACCCCTTGACCGAGTAGAAGCCTTTGTGCTTCCTCCATACCCTCAACTTTGGCTAAAGTCAGGAGTCACTGACGAGGTCAGGAGTTGGGAAGCTTGGGCCTTGAAAGAAGGAAGTACCAAAAAAGCAATTCATACATTACTAGAAATCACTTGGAGATTCCTACCCTGGGATATTCAGAAAGCTTCCAGGTGAGTAGCTAAAACTTAAATACAGCTGAAAATGGAAATCCAGTCAAAAGCTCTGCTGAAGTATGCCAGATGACCGCTTCTCTCCCCCAGTGCTGAGCAGTCTCTGTGAACAGTTTTTGCATCCCTGCTAGAGTGGAGGAAAAATATACACTCTCATCATTTGCCATAAGAAATATTTGGCACCTCGCAGAAATCATCTCATTCTAGATTTCTCATCTGATACTGCCAAGAAATTCCTTCAGGACATGGAAAATAAGTGGGCTTTAGGAGCATTTCACTTACAGCAGAAGTCAGGTGCTCTCCACTCGATCAAGACTCTCTTCCTAGCACAGGCTGCGGCGTAATTAGCAATCGCAGAGCACAGACAATTCTTGCCATTGGAGCAGGAGCAAACATCAAAGCGGCAGTTCTTCACATAGGGAGTGGGACTGACTTCATGGTGACAGGGTTCAAATGCAGAAGACATCAGAATTGAGCAGGAGTCCTCAGCATATTTGGCTAAAAAGAGAAAAATGACACGCTTGCACTGAATCAATCGGTGGCTTTCAAGAAAAGCTAGAAGAGCTACAGTAAGCATTTTCTTTTTCTTTTGTAAAAGAAAAAAAAAACAACAAACACACAGAAGAATAAAACAGGATCAAGTAGGCATAGATAGCATCATAGCTCATAGGTCATGAGCTCCACTAAAAGAATAATGTTTCACTAGTAAAACAAATCAAGGAAAAGCAATGCTTTTATATTCTGTTACCACTATTTCTGGTGCTGTATTTCCTTTTACAGGGTCTCTGCTTTCTGCTGCTTTTTATATTTGCAAAATTAAACCTTCTAGGCTGCACTACACTCATGAATCACCACTGCCTGCTCTGATCTACAGCCATAAAATTTTCTCTGGACTTCCTCCTCCCAGAAATCAGAGGTTGCTGTAACACCTGGGACAAGAAAATGCCTCTGAGAATTTCTCCCTATGTCCAACCAGGACAGCCAAGCAGTATGAAGGAAAAGAGGAAGGCCGTCTGTTGGGATGCAGTAAAGGAAGGGAGACAAGGGATCAGGAAAAGTGTGTAAGGTGTAAGGACAGAGGAGTGAAGAAGCCGGGTGTTTTGTCCACCCAGAAGATAAACATACTATTGCTATCGCTTGTTAGAGTATTTTCAGTGCACAAGTTTGTGCTGTGGCTGTGATGGTCTACCTCTGACTGTGCTCCAAACTGAACAGCAGCATGATTCCACATTACTGATTTTTTTTTTTTTTTCAATTTTCACAAAACATTACATTTTCCTTAGGAAGCCTGCATCTATCAGTGTGTATCTGTTTTTTTTCTTCGTTTTTTTGTTTGTTTTGTTTGTGTTTTTTGTTTTGTTTTGTTTTTTTAAACAGAGATTACAACCACCCCTCTGGTTATGCAAGCAACACTAGCTTCTTCCCTTTATTTTTCTTTTACTTATTTTTCTTTTTTATTGTTATGTAAAACAGAAAATCACAGTTTGCTGCACATGTTAATTTTGGATGGAGTTCAGTACCTAAACGAGGATTGAGATTGCAGGGGTCACTGTCTTGTTTTAACAAGTCTTGGCAGTCCGCGTTGAGTTTCCAGGAGTTTCCAAAATTTTCCAGAAGAGCTTCTACCATGCCAGAAGGTGTAAGAAAATCATCCCCTTGGTTACCATTGTAATTTCCACATAGCCCGCACATCCTTTCGGAATAGACCGGAGACAGCTAAGGAACACAACATTAGCCTGGTCATCTTCCAGAATAGGTCACGAGCCTATAGCAAGATTTACTAAAGGATGAACCATACACAATTTAACAAATCAAGAAAATTCTCAAATACACATTAAAATACTATAGACACAATTTCATTGTACTACAATTTTAAACTTCTAACAAAAATCCTACTATTAGTAGCAGCAGGACAATTTTTGCGTGGTACAGTGATAATTTCGAGGGTAACTGCAGGTGACCAGGAGAAAAATGGCTTTTGTGCCTTGATCAGCATTCCAGTTTGATCTTTACTTATTTTTTCCCTTCATTCCTATAAACGAACAGGGCAACAGTGGGGGGTTGCATTTTTTAATATAGTGAGATGATTATATTTCCAGTAGTAATTTGGGAAAAAATACTGCACCTGAAACCATTTCACATTTTAAAAGAAAATTTGAAGATTAAGAAAATTTAAAGAGATTGTTTTGTCACAAAACAGAGGCAATGTTGGAGGAGTTGTTTTCCTCAACATTAAGGACCATTAATAAAATAAGAGACTACTACCCCTAAAGCTACATTACCTCATATTAGAGCTTCCTCCTGCCTAGAGAAACTCATGACGCACTAAAAGCAGCACTGCAAACAACCCACGCAGCAGATGGACTTTTCACCCTGCATTATTCTTGCTGCAAATCAAGGGACAGTTGAAATGAGACCCTAAACTTAGAGGTAAACGGGGGGAAATCTCTTAAGCAACAGCTGCAACACAAAGGTGCCAATATCTTTTATTCTAGTAGGAACTATCAGTTTCTATTAGAAGTAAAGATCTGGTGCATCACGAGTACTGTCCTCGGGAGCTGACTTGGTGCTTTAAAGCTAAAGTAGCTCTCTGTATGCATTTAGTAGAGTGCTGCTTTAGTCAGATTGGCAGGAGTGCCCAGTGAAACACAACCCACAACCAAAAAAGGTAGAAAAACCACATCGTTGAAGAAAACTGGTTGTCTGTATAATCCAAAATAAAAACATGCTCCAAAATACAACCTAATACTGCCCTCTCTTCAAACACAGCGGTCAGAGAGTGAATATGGAGTAACGAAAGGAATAACCATGAATTATTTGAGGATACGTATCCTTATTACTGCGATGGCCAAGGAAGCTACTTTTTCACGTACTCTGCAGACAGACAATGACTCATACAAATCCAAATTCTGACGTATTTTCAAGTGGAAGCTCAAATCACAAATATCAAGTGGTCACAGAAAGGGGAGCCTTCTTGAGGAACATAGAAAGAATTTTTACCAGAAGCCTGGCCAAGGTAATGGAAGTGTATCACTTCCCCCAATTGTCAGAAATACTTGGCAACAGGTCAGCCTACAAATACAGCATAAATAACTCTCCAAAGGCAATTAAAAAGATGCTTTAGATATGCAGTGAGGGAAGGAGCTCGGAGCAGAACTGCATAAATGCAGATGAGAGGAGAAATTTCCACTGCTTTTATGGGTAGAGGATCTGGAGCAGAAAATTACATTTGTTTTAACTGTAAGAAAGAATTTGCCAGGCTATACGGGACTCTGACTGGGCAGAAAAATACTTTGAATACTGAGGAAAGCCAAAACTTCTGAGATGTGCCAAGGGACTGAACTGAATTATTCTCAGCCCAAAACCAACTTCTCAGACCCCTGGAGCACAGAGATACAGGCTAGATTGAAACAACAACAACAAAACCATGGATGCTTTCTAAACTTATTCTCGACCTTTCTTCTCTGTTGTCTTTTCAACTCTTGTACTCACTTCTGAACTAGCTTTCGTGAGCTTTTACACTGTGCCAGACGTGACATTTAAGTCAGATTTTGGGGCAGGGGAGGAGAGTGCAAAAGCAATACCATGGTTCAGAGAGGGCAGCGGTCACTGCTCAGTAGAAAACCCCAGGAAAATTGGCTTTCTTGGCAAAACTCTTCTCAGTGACCCAAACCAGCCCACGCAGGTCCCAGCTGCAGATCCCTTGTTACAAGCGGGGCTCAAAGGCAGCAGAGCTGTGGTTAAGCACCTGTCCACGCAAACATGGCAGGAGCACGCAGGTCCGCAGCCGCCCAGCATCACACGGGAGCACATCACCCTGACTTAGCACCCATAACCTGCAGGTCATCACACCAGGGAGCAACACTACAGGCAGACTCACGCTCCCAAGGGAGCAAATACACTCTCAATGACAACACTTGTAGTCTTTGAGACCTACCATCAAAAGAAAACAGCCTCTTGCACGAGCAAAGAGGGCGATAAATGGCTTAGCTGGAGAACCTGCGATGGTTTATCAGCTAATGAGGAGAATATTCTACAGTAAATAATCTTCCCCCTTTCCCTCACAGGCTTTTCTGCGCTGCAAATCATTTGGCAGCTTATAACACACACACACACACACACAGAGAAAAAGTGGTTTTCGTAACGCATTCTGTTGTTGCAGCTAGATTGCTTCCCTTGGAGCTTGTTTTTTTTAAACCTGGTTTGGGTATTTCTACACTCCACTGCGGTCTGCAGCACAGACAAACCCTAATTGTTAATCAAGGGTGACTTTAAACATTCCTCACAGTAGAAGGAGCATGCAACATATCTTCTATGAGTTAATTGATTTTTCCTGGAAATTATGAGTAACTGTGTCCCTGGAGCCATATTCTTCCCTTATTTTAAGTCATACAAATCCATTGCTTTAGACAGGACAGTCAAAGCAAATGAAAGCGAAAATCCACTTTGGAGGGTATCTGCTCAACAAAACACAAAACTGTTCATGGTTAATAATGGCTGTCATTGCACAAAAAAAAAGAGAGGGGAAAAAAAAAATATCTGCCAAGATGCTGTAGGATGAAAATGTTTGTTTCTGGAATACAAAAGGACCTGTATATCACTCCGGGGGTAGCCAAAGAGAATGGAATTTCTAACATGCAACACAAAGCAATTTCTCACTTTAGACAAGAAAATCTTTGTACATGTTTGGATGGGACAAGAGAGGGGGCAAAAAGGCTGAAATAAGACAGAAAGAAAAAGAATACCTTTACTAGGAGTCCACCATGACCATCCCAGTCAATCTGCAAATCTTCCCCATAGGTAAGGCGAACTGAAGTCCTCACCATGCGCTGGATACGGAGGGCACCTTAAGACAATCACAAAGTGTCAAGTCAATCAACCCAGGATACGGCGTTTTGTTGCCTGGGACTGCTGTGTCATGCTGAAAAGCCCAACAGCATGGTTGCCACAGAGCAGGGGACAAGCAAGGGGTGCCAGCAATGCCCGCTTCGCACTTCCCAAGCTTTGTGCCGGCTCCGCAGTTTACATCTACATGAACTTGTCCATAGGCTCTGCTTTAAGGCACTCAGAAGCTCTAGGAGAGGATATATATGCATTCTGCAAAACCTCAGGCATTAACTGTGACATTTTGGAAGATAACTGGAGGGACTTTAAGCTTCTGGATAAAATATAATAATAATTTTTAAAAGCATAGACCAACAGTGGTTTTCAAGATCACATCTCACAAATCCAGACCAGCTTAATTCTCCTCATTTTAGAGGAGCCGAGCCAAGATGTGTCGGCTGCATGGAGAGAAGCTGAAATGACGGAGCTTCTAGAAGAGGCTGCAAGTGAGAATTTGGTATTGAAAACACTTTTTGATTAAACTAGGCTAAGGTATGCCAGAAAAGACTAGAAAGTAGGACCCCTTCAGTGGCTGGCCAGAGGTAGCCCGTGCAAACGCACCTTGTAGCAAAGGGATCTGTATGTCTTGTCCATTCAGTGAAACTCCTCCTCCGTGTTTCATTTTAATGAGGCTGTTGTCCATATCCCGGATTCGGACAGAAGCTGAGCGAGTGCACACGGCATCAGGATCATCTGCACACTACAGAGAAGGGAAAATTTACCTCGAACCTCAAGCTTTATCGGTGACTTAGCCCCAGGCCCCCAGAAGGCATTTCAGCATCTAATTCGGGAGGTGTTAAGTGTCTCAATGGTTTTATGGATCTACACAAACACTAGGGTGGCAGCCTTTCTTCCATTATCCTGCTAATCACACACCAGGGAGCTATCTGCAGCCTGGAAAGCAATCCGCAGGTGTTACACCGGACCCCCGGGTGACCGGCATCCAGCCCCCCCAGGTTGCGGCAGAGGCAGGAAGGGCTCGCTGCCCCACACAGCCCATCAGCCTGGGAAACCGTTGTGAGGTTCGCACTGCCCAAGACTTGTCCTATTTATTTTCCCAGGTGTGTGTTACGCAGATGAGGAACAGGGATTGCAGACCCCCAGGATCTCCTCCCTGGTTTTGAGAGAGAAGTTTCAGTGGAAACCCGTTCTGCAAGTTTGCAAGCACAGATGACCTCAGAGATGCATTATCAGAGCTTTCTAATGCAGGGTACAGACGTAGATGGTGCGTACGACCCGTCACACCACATTTCTCCAAAGCCTGTGACTTCGCTGTTGCTCGTGTCCCGTAAGGCAGGTTGATACTCCTCTTCACTCCCAGCAGTCTCCCGACTCCATCGTACCTCTCCCTGCCTTCCGTTCCTCCATCCCCTTTCTTCCCCTCTGCTTGATTCAGTACCCTTTTCAGTCTCCAGGTTAGTTCATCTATTCCCATGTGTAACTGGTCAATTAATTTCACGACCAGGTTATAACCTCCCTCCAGGGTCTCCTTCCCTCCCCGCGTTGGCCTGGCCCCCCTTCCCTGCCTCTCTCCAGCTGTCTCCGCTTGCTGACCTCCCGCTGCCTCTCTCTCATCCATCAGGGTAGATGGCG